GTTATTATTCAATTATATTATAACAATAATAATTAATAAATTTTTTTTATTTATTTTAACATTTTTAGAGATGTTGTATATATGTGAAATTGAAATTAGCCATTAGCCATTAACCAATCAAATATGAGGGTGAAAAATTCCTAATTCATTTTCAGATACAACAGAGACAAAAAGAATTCTTCATTTGAAACACTTTAGTTTTGTAACTTCAATAAAATGAATTCATTAATTAATACACAATAAATAAATGAGTAAAATACAATTTCTAAAAATATCTTTTTCAATTCATTTCACGCGACTATTTTGTCTAAATCTCCATATAAACATAAAGAATATTAGTCATCATACCTCCCTTCTGATTGCATAATTTTCTTAATTTTCTTTTCAAATAAATCATGTGATAGGGACGAGTAAAACATCTCTATAATGAATTTCCATTTTTTTAATAATTGATTTCTCTTTCTATAACGAACAAAAGCAGAAAAGTTACATATAGAGACGGAAGGTTCGTTATAGAGAATGTGAACTTATGAATGACCAAATGGCTTATGACAAGTCATATAAGTCATATGCCAACACTATACAGAATAGTTTAAGTTTAGTGAGGGTGAACGTGAGTAAGTTGGATTCGAAAAAACGACAATCGGCCATCATCTAAGCTAGAATCAACATGAATACGATGCCTTCACAAGTTGGTCAGTTATTAAACGAAGCTTTGGGGGTGACTCCGAGGAATTGATGGAAAAATTAACCTTGAAGGTTGCTGAGAAGGAAGGACGGGCGGTGGCGTCCAGATTTTTGACAAGGATAATAAATAGGATGGGCTTGAGAGGAATAATTGGAAGAAACCAGGAAAGCAATTGTAATTGCTAACAGAACATCAACAGCTACAATATGATCTAATATAGAAGCTCAAAACGGTACGAATCTGGTCATTTCAAAACAGATGGAGAGTAGTAATTCAATCAAGAAGAACATTTTGACCCCGTTTTGGTAGAAGTGAACCTTTCCAAGCCAGCTTCTTATTTCTAGCATCAAGAATGGAACACAGCATTATTATGATTGGGGAAACATCTGGAAAAGAATGAAGATAGATTAGGAGGGAGAGTGGAACATAAACGAATGCACGTTCATGTGTTCGAGTCGCAAAAAAAAATTTTTTGTTGATCAATTTATTTAATTTCATATA